AAAAAAAAAAAAAAAAAAAAAAAAAAAAAGACAAAAAAAAAAAAAAAAACATGTAAATACAAAGCCGCTGCAGGTAAGCAATAGGGAAAAGAGCAAGTGTGAGGCGATGCGAGGGAGGAACACTGACCTGCAGGTTAGCGATGGCCACACCAGAGCGTGATTGCCGAACCAGTCGTAGAGGACAGGAGCCAAAGATTTCCATTTTGAGTACTTTTTCGATTCGGAGAGCTCTCCAGGATCCTTCATTGCTCCGACGTAGACACGTGGCACGCCGCAAATGAAGCAAGAAGGGGGGGGGAAGGAGGAGGGAGGGGGGGGGAAAAGAAAAAACAGCGGATGACAACCAGCCGGAAAGGGTGGGTATTCGCCGCCTCCTCCTCTCGATGCTTGTCTTGTCTGTCAGCTATATTTGTGCCACGTGGCAACCAGCTAGAATGCAGCACTGTCGCCACGTAGTGCCACGTGGCAATCAGCTAGAACGGCACCACTGTCGCGATGACACGTGGCAAGCAAACACATTGCCAGTCGTGCCACGTGGCAAGTCGCCTCTTTGGCAAGTCACATGGAAGTAGAATTCGCCACGTGGCAAGCAATCATTGATTGCTATAGCCCTCGTGTAATTGAATATACTACTGTATATTTCGCAAAGAGCCTCCTCTCTCACAAGTTGACCTCCTCCCTCTCCTCTTTCTCCACCTCCTCCCCTACCGGTAGGCGCTTTTTTTTTGCTCGTATTTTTCTTTTTCCGAAAAATTCACATGTAAAATGTATACCTATACATATATTTCGCGAAGAGCCTGTCACAAGTTCACCTCCCTCTCCTCTTTCTCCACCTCCTCCCCTTCTGGTAGGCGCTTTTGCTCGTGTTTTCCCAAAAAACTCACATCCAAATTCCGCGAAATTCTAAATCACTGGATGGGTAGAAAAAAGAAAAAAGAAAAAAATCACTGGAAAAAAAAAAAAAAAAAAAAAAAAACCTACCCGTTGAGCGCAGTCACGATTTCAGTTAAAAAGAAATCCCACTCCAGGCATCCCTCAAATACAGCACATCCCCACCTGACCCTAAAGGTAGGTTATATACATTCACGATTTTCCTCGCCTCGCTTTGGCACAACATTTGCGAAATCGTGCCTGAAGCGCAATTTCAAACGGGAAACCGTGACTGCAGCCTACCGTCTTCCCCCGAACATAGCGCACGCTAAAAATGAATGTATACGAGTCATATTTCCGGCCAGATACAGCCAAAATAAGGGGGCGTTGTGTTCGGGGGAAGACGGGAGTTTTCCCTTACTGGATTTTCCTTCCCAGTAATTGCAACAAGCTCGAGAACGGGAAAAAAACGTAATCGCATTTTCGGAATATCGGAATATCGGAATTAAAATTTCGGGAAAAAAAAAAAAAAGGAGGACTCTCGAGAGAATAGGAGAGAGAGAGAGAGAGAGAGAGAGAGAGAGAGAGAGAGAGAGAGAGAGGAAGTAGGGAATTCCAAGCGCGCGGGGATATAATAATTAATTTAAAAAAAAAAGAGAAGACAAAAGAAAAACTTGAAAAAGCCACGGCCGAACTTCGCCGCGCGTAGAGCTTGCCACGTGTCCTCTCCTCAGAGGACTTCACCCACCCGCCCCTCTTTTTTTCTTTCCTAACAGAATTTTTCATATATATATATATATCGAGTCACCCACCCACCCTCCCACCCGCCTCCCCACTGTCACTCGGCAATTTCAAGATGCGATTTTTGATTTTTCTTTGGAAACGGGAAAGGGAAACAAAAAAAATAAACAAAAAAGTGCATGCTTGTGAGGAGAAGGATTTTTTGTCGTTCACTATACATGTCGGCACTCGGCGCGCAGTACTGTCAGCCTTTTCTGCGGGCGCCCCCCCCTTCCGGAAAAAAAGGGGTGGAAAAAGGGAAAAAGACGCGAAAAAAAAAAAACTCTCCTACGGCCGGTGACGCCCCCCTAATGACTTCCTCGGACGTGACGAAGGCCGTCGCTCCACCGCACAACATTCTTAATGTATCTGGGGGGTTTCTTCGTCACGATTCATTCGAAAATGGTCTGTCAACCGGAATGCATGTCGAGGGCAATACAGTCCAAGTACATGTACAACGGGTGCAGTCGATTGAGCGAGGCCCGAAGAGGCGCCACCTCTGGCTCTGGATCCGCATCCGGCTCCGGCTCCGGTGTCAGTTTCCACCGTCGATCTGCCGAAGGGTCTCGCCGCACCTCTCCCCACATCTGGAGAAATGGAGAACGTATCGTCTCCTAGAACGTGGAGAGATACACCCGCCATTGTTTTTTTTTTGTTTTTTTTTTTTTGGGAAAGTTTGTAAATGTATTGCTCAAAAAAATGGGATGTTCCAAAAAATAAAAATAAAAATAATTGGGATGAGGCCGGGGACCTCACAATTGGACCCCCGGAGTTAGGGCCTGGGCACACCACTCTTGAAAACTCTTTTTCAAGAGTTGCTGCATCCCCACACACCCTCTTGATGCTTGGGGCAGTCAAGACTCAAGAGGCTGCCACTAGCTGCCAGAGTGGCAGCCTCTTGAAACCCTTTTTCAAGAGGGTCTCTTGAAAGATTGGAAACCCCAGCCTGCCTGCAACTTGCGCGCTTTCAAGCGTCTTTGGGCCTAGTTGCACTACTCGCCATACGTCAAGTTTGGCGAGTAGGCGCCTCGTTGCACTTACTCGCCAAATGCAAAATGTGTCAGACGGCTCGCCACACAGTCGACAGAAGTTATGGAGAGAGAATTAGGTTGCCCCGCCTGTGCACGGCGGTTTGTGGAGGGTGGTCCTCGGACCTCTCCACAAAACAACTTTCTGGAGAGTGCAGGGCTTCACGAGTCGACATCAGTTAGACAAAAAATTTTAACTTTTCTATAGAAGACATGTAGTCGCGAGTAAGTGCAACCAGGCCTCGAGTTCGACAGGATTCTCAGTTTTTTCACTCTCCATGCATCCGCCACGAAATGTGACGGATGGCAAGTAGTGCAACTAGGCCCTTTGGCCGAACCCTTGGGGGACTCTTGATTTTCAAGAGTTGTGATGCGGTTATCCTGACGCGATGCGAAAAAAACAAAGCTTTATGATTGTCATTTTTCATCCTCTGTCCAACAGGATTGCCCTTTCGAGAGTGCTGTGTGGCGAGGATGTGACGAACCACTTTCTGTAACGCGCGATTTTCTGCGTGGTTGCAATGAGGGGTCCTAGGCTGGGAAGATTGGGCCAATTACGGGAGATCGGGATCGGTGGAGAATTGCAGCAGTGTCCTCGCTTTTTCGTCCTTTTTCGTCGTTTCTTTTTCGAATGACCGGGCACGGGGTCGGGTGTGTCTTGGGACGGTCGGTGGATTTATTGGTCGGATGGTTGTTTGGCGCGACGCCACGCGCGCGCGCGATTAATAAATGTTGACGTCATTTCTTTTGGTTCGGTTTCGATCTTTTGGGTGCGGACATCGCACGGGAAATTGCTTCGTTCTTTTTTTGAATTTCCTTTTGAATCTTTTTTTCGAATTTTGTCGAACCCCCAATGGCTCTCGGAATTTTGGACTTTCCTTCTGGAATTTGTGTTTTTTGCTTTTTCGCAGCAGATAGGAATTTAGGAATTCAGTAATTAGGACTTTTTTCTGCCGCGCGGCGCCTTTTGTTTACGCGCTTCTTCATGCGGCTGCAACGGTACTCTGATTAGTGGGCGCCCTTAATCGTATGTGTAACTGTAATTTTGGGCGGGCGCCATTGTAACTGTATCTCTCTTCTTGCACTTCATCTCTCGCGCCCTCCCTCTCTTTCTTTTGCTGAAATTTTGTAAGTCGCGGCTTGTATGCTCGGATCGATGCGTGGAGAAGGGTTATGTCCCCCACGCCGCAGACGATCATGCAGAACGCAGGCGTTCCCTCTCTAATCCTCACTCTAAGTCCTAGTAATTCCGTGTTCTTCGCGCATGCATGCACGCTATAAATTTCGGTTGCGCGATTAGTCAGCTCTCTTACCCCGTCGTTGAAAGCTCGGGGTTGCGCGATCACGAAGGGTCGGCACACGAGCGAAGTAAGAGGTGAGTAGCGTAGGAGTTGGGCGATCCGACGGGCTGGTGCTGAACGCACGGAATTGACGTGGGCCACGACGGACTGTGGGCACGGGCGAATCCGACGGCTGCGGGAGGACTAAGCGGGGTGACAACTTCGTGGGTTGGTGCGCGACGACGGACTGTCCGCATCAGAGAGAGAGAGAGAGAGAAGGAGAGAGTTGAGGTCGATGGACGCGGATTTGCTATTTCTTTGTCTCTTCCCCCTCTTCATCTGTGTACATACGTTTTAATTGCGGCTCCGGGCGGTTTGCCCGTTCTTATTTTCGTTTCGGCTTTCTGAAATCTGGGCTTGGGGTTCTGCTCGCACTTGTCTTGCTATGTCCATCCCGATTGCATTATGTGTATGATTATCGAATGTATGGATGTGTGGACGTTATGCCTGCTTGTCTATCTTTTTGCTGAGAATCCCTGTCCTTGTCTTTTATTGATGTCAAAACTTCGCCCACACCTGATGCAGCTGTAGATGGGGTGAGAATCTGGCCCCGATAACGATTTTGCTCTCGTTTTTGCTTATCCCGCGATGGGGGTTGCAATATGATTGCATCTTGCATAATCGACAATCCGAAGTTTGGTCCCGCGAACGCCGCGCGAGAACATGTGTAAGCGCGATCCGAGTCGCGCCCTTACACACATTCCCATGCGTCGATTCGCTCAACCAAAAAGGATTCGCGGCGGAACCGTCATCCCGTACGAGCACGCTGAGGCGCCACTGACTCTGCCTGCCCTACACGTGCTCGTGCGTGGTGACAATATCCCGACCCGAGCTATCCCATCGACGATGATACCATGACGCGATCTTGGAGCTCAGACTCATCCTATGACCCGGACTATTTCACCCCTWTGATAAACGAGCTCATAAGGACGCGATACCCCTGTCACACAGAGAATCGACTGTGTCCACGGGAATTCCACTGCGCCACCTCTAGCGACCCTAGGTGCTCTGATTTCCCTTCCCCCGACCACACCTACTACTTCACCCACCCGGGATTTGTTGTCATCACCACCGGTTTCCCTCCTTTCCGCCTTCTTCTGCCGTATCATCAACTTAGTGTCGTTCCGTGGCCGGCCATAGCCCCCTATTGGCCCAATACGTTTTGTGTGAATTGCCGACGTCGCGACGAACAGAGAACTCCGGAATTCAAGGCCCAATCCCAATACGAGGCGGCCTGCGCCAGGTGGCGGCCCCCGACGGCCTAACCTTTCGGGACCACCTCCACTACGGAGGGATTTCCCCATGAACCGTCGCCCACAGTGCCCGGGCCCCATCGGGCCTTGAGTCCCTTGCACACGCACCCCTCATTCGCCTAATTGCAATCATACCCTTGAGACTCCCCCACTTTCCCAAAAATCCTTGGCACACCCCT